GACTGAGGCTGGCTCGATGTGGGAGTTCTGGGACCCTTCTCAGGCTGTGCTGGAGAGGGAGGGCGGCCCTTTCTGGATGTGTGATTGGACTTGGGGCTGGGTTGATGAGCAGATGAGGAACCCTTGGTTGGAGTAGATGTGTTGCTGGAGTTCTTGGCCTTGGCAGCTGCTTCTGCGGCTTTAGCCTTTTTCTGCTTGCTGAGTTCGGCTGCGAGGCTGGTTTTGAAGGTGAGCGTGCTGGGTGAGAGGCTGGAGGGGCGACTGCGCGAGCGAGAGTGGCGGTGACGGCTGCGAGAACGTGAATGCCTTGAGGATGAATATGGACTTCTGCTACGTGACCTAGCAGATCGCCTGGGAAGAAAATGAAATTGACACCATTTTAGATTTTGTTTATACATTACCACCTTCAAGTGACCATTTTATTTACTTTCATGAGACAGTAAGTCTGGTGGATATCTAAATATGAAAACATGTAAAGCAAGTTATTACACCAGTGTCGGATGCAGAACTTCTATCACTTAATCACCAGTCTGGTCAGAAGTTTTGGGAAAGGCGTAAGCACGCCAGCAAATATTGAGAGAAAACATTTAGGCCTCAATAAACACAAATGTTAAAACTTTGTCCTTGTTAGGGTTGCACAATAATTTCAAACTGTAAACTACAACCAGGAGGACTGATACATACGCCCAAATAATCACAACAGAAGCAGAGCCTACACACCATATAAATACACCACACAACTACATCACAGCCAACAAGTGAAGCACACATCATCCCATGAGCTGCTTATAAGAACTCACCTGACATCTGGACTTGGGCTCAGGGACTTCCTGTATGGACTTCTTGATCTCCTGCGGTTTCCGTAAGGACTTGAACCAAACTCTCCTTGTTCATACGGACTGTGTCGGCCATAACTTGGGGACCTGCGCCAGTTCGCTGGGCTCACAGGCGATCTCTTCCTTTTGTTGCTGGAGTATGAACTGGGTGACTTTGGCATACCATATGCCCCATACCCATCTGCATCCCGGCCATAATATGCAGAACTGGGAGAGAGTCTTTTGCTCCCATAAGTTGGACTTCTTCTAGATATGAGCTGGTTATAACCACCAGGAGACTGGTAGCTATATGAATATGATGTCCCATAGGGACTTTCTGCTTTGAAACCAGGACTTCTCCTGTATGCCCTGAGGTCCTCGCGGTCATCTCTGTAAGATTGTGGAGCATCTCTGTATGCAGATGGTGGCTCTTTATCAGATCTTGTTTTACTTCTGTGCCTTTTTGAATCCCTTTTATCTGCAGATTGTAAGGACTGAGATGTAGATGTCCTTTTACCGTTCCTGTCATTGCTCCTTGTAGTGTCTCTGTGATTTTTAGAGCCACTGAGGCTACTTCCACTCCTAGCTTTTGAGGAGTCTCTCTCGCGGCTCTGGCGGTCCTTTTTCCTGCCTGGCTCCTTCTCCTGTTTGTTCCTCTCAGATGGTCCTCTTGTTTGTTCGTCCTTGCTAATGCACACTGCCTCCCGGTCTCTCGGGTGACTTCTGTCTGGGGATGCTGGTCCATTATATTCACCAAAGTCAACATCGCTAAGTCGGTCCACTGAGAGCCTGTCAGCATGGGGGTCAAGTTTAGGAGAGGGGCTCCCAGAAAATCGCTCTGACTGGGAGCTCACGTCATCATACTCTACCAATGTCCGAAGTTCAGCGTCTTTATCAAAAGTGCCTTTTCGGTCATTGTCAGGGTCTCCTGTTGTACCGGTATGCCACAAGTCTCTTCCCTTGGCCTGCCTGCGTTTCTTTCTCCTAGAAGCCGATGAGCGCCTCTTCTCACGGTGTCTCTCTCGCTGAGCAGCACCGCTCCCTGGCTTACTACGCCTGTCCTGCCTGTTAGCATTTCTCTGAGCAGAGGGGCTCCGACCCCGACCGTCGCGAAGCACCTCTGAATTAGGCATTTATCTACCAAATAAATGCTATACCCACTGTGAGAACAATCTTAATAATGTTGACTTTACCTAAACTATGTTCCTTGTGCCGTGGAACAAAACATTGGGCTAGCTGTGTAACAGGCTAGTTAGCTAACGTTACGGCAAATTCACAATTAGACAGCCAGCCAGCCAGCTAGCTAGCTAAATCACAAGCTTAACATTAGCATTACAAAGCTAGCTCGTTTCAGGTTAATGAAAAAGCGAGTAACCCCAGACGGTACTTAATATGTGACACTTGGTGTCTGTAGATTCCGCCACATAAAATCCACGATATGGTGTTTAGTTACAGAGCCAGTCGGCAACCAACCATTGTGCTCCAGGACGGAAATCTCCCAGATTTGCTAGCTTATGGTTGTCGGTTTAGCCAGCTAGCCTTCAGTAGCTAACTGTGTCCAGCTAGACAGTCGCATTCCGTTTCATGGTCAAAGCACAGGCCCAAAGCCCCTCCAAATCTATAATCCAGTTCTTGTGAAATGATGCAGATCGTACAAGAATGTAAATCCATTAACCGGATAGTGTTAAAGTGGAGGTAAAGAAACTCCGTCTCCTTCTCACAAACTTCTTCTCGCCTTCCATCACACTCCAATGTGCAACAAGGAAGTGAATAGCACGCGAGTTGGCTGGATAGCCGCCGCTAGCTAGCCAGCTAGCCGCTAGCGCCGTAGCCAGCTAGCTTTCTTTTCTCTTTTGCGTGGAGTTCAATGCAACTCAAGTCAAGATGCAATCTAACAATGCTGTTCAAAAACACGTCCGCTTCCACGTATTCCGCCGGGTTGTTGCTCCCTCTTACCACCGCATGGTCCAAAAGTAGCAGACGTGTTTCCGGGCAAAATGGCTCCACAATTCTTTGAATTTATTTCAAAATATAGTAACTTTGTTCGCAATGTGGCTAACGGTACAACTCGCCAGGGCCCAGACAGCTTTCAAACTACAGGCCTGGTGCGTCGGTGTGAACCAATGACAGCCGCGTGCGTAATCCAGATCAGCGGTTACGTCACCGCCAAGGGGAACCCCTACTTTCAAAATATAAGAGAAAATAAACACTTATAAATCAATAAGGGTTTATACAAAAGATTGTGTCTTCTTTTTCATGACCCCCATACTGGATACTTTAAACTGTCACTGTGTATTTAACGCCTATGTGCTGCATATAAGTGCTGTATATAAGCATATGTACTTGTTATGACAGTCCTTTATGCATGCTTTGTATCTGTACTCTTCTAACTTTTTATTGCAGCTGCAGCACAGCAATTTTCCTCAGGGTAAATAAAGTTCTATTTTATTTTTTTACATATACAGTAGGCCTACATATCCAACCACTCAATGTTTATTGCTGTAGTAAAAGCAGCAGTATCACAGTGTAAAAATAATGAATTCAAAATGTTACTTACTTATGAAAGCATTTGCATCACAATATATTTAAAGAACTGAAAGTAAAAATACTTATTATGCAGAATGGGTCATTCCTGAATAATATATGTTGTCACTGGTGTCAAATCATTGATGCACTTATGTATACGTAACTTTAATTTTGCAGCTGGTAAAGGTGGTGCCACTACTTTATATACTGCAGGGCAGCTTAATCTGTTAATAACACATTATCATTTATTAGTTGATTTGTGTATTGTATTGATAGTTCAATCAGCAAAGTAACTAAAGTTATCAAAAACATGTATTGGAATGAAAAAAAGGACAATATTATCTTCCAAAATGTTTTGGAGTAAAAGTACAACGTTGCATAAAATGGAAATACTGAAGTACCTTGAAATTTTACTTGATTACAGTACTTGAGTAAATGTCGTTACATTCCACTGGCACTATTTATATTGTTTACAACTTACGGAAACACTTGGCTTGTATTTAGACATTTTATTTGTGTTGTTCTTCTTATATATATTAATATATACACCTGTTTTCATGAACATACTAATCCTGTATATTCCTGACCTTTATTCAGCTTTGTTGTCCTTGTTCTTAGCTGTTCATTTCTGTGTAAGTACATTTAAAGCATTGCCAAAACCAGAGTCACATTCCTTGTATATGCACACATACTTCACCAGTAAGGCTGATTCTGATTCTGGATTGAAAACAAGCTTTTACGTTGCCAGTTGATTTCACTCTAATCAAAAATTTGTCATCAGTACTCTCCATTACATCACATCCATCACTAAATGCTATCACTGTCATAAACCAGCACACAGCTACTGCAACATATCTGAGTGTGCTATAGTAAATCAATACTTCCCTTGTCCTTGTCCTCCTCCATGACATTGGCATAACCGACCTTTAGGAGGAGCACACATGCAGCAAAAAGAATCAGAGCGATTGTGTAAACACAGAGACATGGGCTGAGCCACACAGCCTGCACTTGCACAGATATTATAGTGCCACCAGAACAAATGATGCCTTAAAACCACCTATAAACATGAGAAATTAAAGGTAAAGCCATGATAAAAAGTGCTGACATTGCGCCAGACTGTCATGGTGAAAAGGGAGCCGAGCCGGAAGCCGAAGCTCTCATATAACCAATCTATCTACGTCCCAACCCTCACCCTACCCTTTGAGTAATCAACGAAAGAATGAGATTTCAGATACAAGCGGCTGAAATAAGTTTTATTCATAGGGTGGCTGGGCTCAGCGTTAGAGACAGGATGAGGAGCTCAGGCTCGGAGTAGAGCAGCTGCTCCTTCACATGTAAAGGGGTCAGTTGAGGTGGCAACAGATCAGGATGCCTCCTGGGCTGGTCTCGTTAGAGGTTTTCCAGGCACGTCCAACTGGTAGGAGGCCTCAGGGTAGACCCAGGACACGCTGGAGGGATTATATAGCTCATCTGGCCTGGGAAGACCTCGGGATCCTCCAGGAGGAGCTGGAAAATGCTGCTGTGAGGACGACGCTTGTATAGTGTAACTCATGGTATAAAATAATTTAAATTCAACACTGATTAATAGCAGTCACACTGTCGTAATTCAAGGCAACACAAAAATCTTAACACAAAAAACATATGAACACATTTGGAAAATATTATTAGTAATATCCACTTTATTTGCCATTTCCAAATAACTCACAAAAAAATGAATTGAAATGTAAGCTTCACCTCTTGCATTCACAAACAGATAGGCTACATTAGTGGTTATGTTCAAAATAAGTAAACATGAAGGAAACATTTAACTGATGGCATACATACGACCATCCAATCCAAGACAAAGATATCTATTCTTTATTCCGAGGGTATTTATATAAAAGGCAAAACGAGTCATTTGAATACCCAGTAGGACAGTTTGCTCGTAGCTTTCACACAAATATCTGTTTTAGTTTCACCCCTTGAATCCTGCTGAAAATATTTGGGCCATCAAGTCTATTAAGATGACGAGAAAAGTATTATGAGTGTTAAGCCAATGTTAGAGTAAGCAAGCACTATGGTGGTTACTTTAGTAGCTTCTGCAATCCTCCATGATGAAGGATGAAGACACACACACAGCAGGTAATGTAATGGCCGTAAGCTAAGGAAGGTATGCCATAACAGACTGTGATTCTTGCACTATATGTCAGTTTCTGCGCCTGCTGCTTTAACTCGCACTAACTCAGTTATGTTTCTGTCATGGTATGGTGTACTGGAGGTTAGCCCTTAAAACAGATTATCCCAAACTACTTTATAAGCATTCCGATGCAATGAGATCCCCACATTTTGGGTTTGAGTCACATATCTTTAACTCTCTACTACTGTGTGCTTTTCAGTTAACAGGAAATACCACGCACATTCTTTTGCATTACTGTCTGTTTGTACAAGTTACACACTGAAATGTGACAAACAAAGCCTGTAATCAAAGCCAGCAATTCCTCAGTGTGTATGTATTAACTCAGGGAATCAATGAGACAAGTGTTTTCAAATAGAAAAACAGTTTACAAGTGTTGGCCCCGTCTACATGTATACAGATATTTTTTAAAACGTGTATTTTTCTCTACATTTTGACCTCTTGTCAACACGCAAAGTTTTAGGTCACTTAAAATAACATTTTTTACCATCCAAGGTGCAGAATTTTTGAAACTCCATTTTCAGTTAACCTGAAAAAACAAAAAGTCATAAATTTTTTTTGTTAAAGGGTCGACAATCCGCGTTTTAACGTGTAATCTGTAAATATAAAACACCTTCCACAAACACAAAAAATATTTGTAAACTCCAAAAACTTTTGCAAAAATAAAACAGATTTGCAAATACAAATTACACACGTAAAAAAAAAATGTGAATATACTTAATTTACAAAAAATGAAAAGCATTTGTGAATATCTTGCTAACATTTACAACTTCTAGCATAAATTTGTAAATCCAGTCTTTATTTGTGAATCTCAATTCTACACTTGCAGATTTGCGTTTTATGCACAGAGTCATTCGTATATTTGCAGCTGTTATATTTTGTGAGTTTACAAATTTTTTTTTGTACTTGTGGAAGTTGTTTTATATTTACAGATTACCCATTTACACAGAACTTGTCAATCCCCTCACACGAATAATATTCAGTCAAATTTATCATAAAAGCAACATTTATAAAAATGGAGCGTTTTGGAAAAGATGACATCATCTCCTCAATTTGTGCATGCACATCATCGCTTTGTATACAGAGCAAACACTAGAAACAACAACAATAATGTCGGACTATCGATTTGCTTACATTTTGTTTGCACTGCTTAGTTTCATGGCTTCTTTACACTTAAACCTGCTTAAAGTTGCTGCACCACTTCATAGACAAACAGAGGCCTCCGCTACACCAAATGTTTTGTCAACATTTTTTGTCAATGGTTTAAAGTCCGCCACAAACAACTATTTTATCCAATCTCCACTAAATATCAGTTTTTGAAAAGTATCTGTAAACATGTAGATGGGGCCTTTGGGTTCAGGTTTTCTGAGCTGTGGTCACATCTCTGAACAGCATTCAAGCCTAAATGCTTCGAGTGCACTCAGTGACACTGTTTTGAATAGTTTCCAGATTTCATATTCTCTTCCTCTTTGCAATTACAACAATCACTATTTTGCATAGACTCCAGTGTTAGGCATCCTATTGGTTGAGGAAATATTTTAATGTAAATGGTGAGCTGTTGCTGTTGGCAACGCACACATCTACAGTTTAAACTGGATCAGAGAGAGTGAAGTGTGGCAACAACCTCTGGATGGCGACTTTGAAAACAACTTAAAAATATAAAATAAGTTATTTTAAATAAGTTAAAAGAAATATAAAAGAGTGGCTCAGTCGTAAAGAGAATAGAGGGGCAGATTTCACAGTGTGTTTTGGTCTATGCAATTTAGCTGTTGATCATGTTCTCAATGTGCCAAATTTTTTACACTGCTTCAATCACTTGCCTGTAAAATTGTCACTACATGAGCAAGAGGAAATGAACAAATCAGGTGTTTCAGTAAGATGTCACTACAGCTAAATAGCCTTACACAAAATGCAACAAAGGTAAACAAAGTAGAAACGCCAATGACCTCTAAACTCTGCACATCATTGGCAGGCTAAGATTACAGGCAAACAGGAAGGGTACGGGGGGAGTATTCACATTCACAATGGACAGAGAGGCAACAGTGATGCACTGTACATGAATTACTAAATCCCTCGTTAGCTTTGCATTTCTCCCCCAGGCCATTCACAATGAAATTCTCCAACTTCAACATTTGCCTCCATCACTTTTACAAAGATATTTCTTACACAAACACTGCTCACTGTAGCAAGTTGTCATTCACCTCCATTAATAAGTGGGCACTTGTTTGTACTAGCTAGCGTTTTTCTTTGGTGACTGAGAGCAACTTTTTTTGGACAGGAACAACCTCACTACTATCATTCATTTTTGATATTTTAAGCCTTGAAATTCATCTACCCATTAGTTTATTCCCACTTGAGCCCCTATTAAGAAATACATTTCAGTTTAAAAAAAAAAAAGAGGGGACTACAAGGTTGGTGATTAAAAGTCTGAGCCAAGAAAAGCAAATAGGCTAAATAAATCTTTACATGACTGGAAGCAATTTATTTTATCAGCTTTAAGTGTTTAAAAACAGCATGTACTGTAAAGGACGTAGTGTTATGGAATCGCCTTTTTATCAGAGCACCAGGGATTCCTTTATCGCAAAAAAAAAAGGCAATGTGAGGTAAAACTTCTGAAATGTTAGAATTGAAAAAGGTTCAAGTGTTGTAAAATCCCTCGCAGATTTAAGGGTAATGATTAATGTTTGTGCATTAGAGAGGACTCGACAAAGTGACGCGGAGGGGAAAGAAACATTAGTGCGCTTATCTTACACTGGTTGATATGATAGAGGACGAGGAAGAAAAGAAGAGAGAAAAAAGTTTGACTTCACAGATAAAAATAAGTGTTCATAACCTTACCACGTAGTAAAACTGAGGTGTAAAACAACAACTAGGAATGGCATCAAATTTTCGGCTCTTAGTAACGATTCCTTCGATTAAAATGCTTCACAGATTCACCAGTGCGACGAACATTTCCTCTGTGGCACTTGATGAATTCTGGGTTGACACTATACTGCTGAGTCTGCTCACTTCCACTTCCTACCCAAGCTCCAGTTACAACTTCCCCCCCGTTTAAAACTTGGCTCTGACACTGTCATTTTCATCTTTTCTCTTCAACTGCACAGCTGTCTTGAATATATTATACACATCAAACTTTACAATGAAAACTTTTGTAACATTTCAGGGCTTAGCCTCTCGTCAAGCTTAGGCCTAAATTAAACACCATCCATTTATTACACTCTGTAATGTGGTCAGAGTAAGAGAAGAGAGAGAGAGTACATAAATTATTTGGAGTGTCAGCACATAAAAAGTTAGAGCTATAAATGGTGTATGGAGTGCCACCTTACTACTCCCTGACACATGGTCAGATGTCCTGGAAGCCAGGAACAGAAAGTCATGGTCAGGTACGGGCACAAAATAAATGCAAAAGTCTGAGAAATGTATATGTACATAAGCAGCTATCCTGCTTCTCCTTTAACACTATAAAATACAGCATCTCTCTCTAATTCTCTTGGCCAAACTTTTACTTTTCTTCTTCCCGTTCTTCTCTTTGCTGTCCTCCATTTTCCTCGCCCGGATCTCTCTCATCAGGTCAAAGAACACCTGTTTAAAAAAAAAAAAACAAAGAGTAGGAGTTCACGTTTTCTGTTTGCTCAATGTCAACTGAGTAAAAACACACTCGTCTTTCCAGCCTACTTTTGATAAAACCAAGCCCACTTCTGCATGACCGAAGTGTGCTGCTTGACATCAAGGCCTGATGATTTGCTGCCAGCTACTGCTGCAAGTAGTGCCCTCTGCGGCACGCTGGGCGCCCTGTGAAACTGCACAGCTTGAGCTCATCAGTGGCTTTGAACGCCACTCTTGCCAAAATACACTGTGGAATTCTACCCCTTCTCATGCCTCTTCTTCGAAGATGGACGTTGATTTTCGATGCCCCTCTACCTACCTCTTTACATAAATTTGTAAATCCATTATGTATTTGTGAATCTCAATTCTACACTTGCGGATTTACGTTTAATGCACAGAGTTGTTCGTATATTTGCAGATGTTATATTTTGTGAGCTTACAATTTTTTTTGTACTTGTGGAAGTTGTTTTATATTTACAGATTACACATTTACACAGAACTTGTCAATCCCCTCGTACGAATAATATTCAGTCAAATTTATCATACAAGCAACATTTATAAAAATGGAGCGTTTCGGAAAAGATGACATCATCTCCTCAATTCGTGCATGCACATCGTCGCTTTGTATACAGAGCACACACTAGAAACAACAACAGTAATGTCTTCAGCTTGAGCTCATCAGTGGCTTTGAACGCCACTCTTGCCAAAACACACTGAGGAATTCTACCCCTTCTCATGCCTCTTCTTCGAAGATGGATGTTGATTTTCGATGCCCCTCTACCTCCTTTATGAACCATCTTTTGTTTACATATGTCTGCCTTCCCTGTGTCAAACTGTTTGTGCTATCAGTTGCTGGGTGAATTTGAGTTGCTACATCTGTTAAATTGAAACTTCTGCTGAGCAGCTCTGTCATGGCAGTGTGGAGCACCCTGCTTAGCCACGGTTCAGCAGCACAGTGGTGATATGGGGGAAGCCAAACACTGTTCATCTTCACACACTGCCGTGACAGAGCTGGGTGAAAGTAAGCACAAGTTGATCTTTAACTGCCCATATTGCTATTTTCAAAGTTACTGTAGCCGTCATATTTCTCAAAGACGAGCCTTCAGCGGTTGTAGCAACTCAAATTCAGCCTGCACTTACCCCAGGGGGTCAGTCTTGTTAAGGCTCATTTATACTCCCTTCATGTACAAAAATAGATTGACTTCAAATGCTGTAAACGCCACTGCCCTCCTACTTCCATGCATCCTTTATGATGGAATTGATACATCCACCTGATGGCACTAGAGGACAAGACAGCAGTACCGGAGGTCGTTATAATGTACCTTTTAATGGGGGCAGCACTGTAGAAAGTGGTGGTCTATAGGGCCTTAAATACATTGCAACATAGGGACAGAAAATTCTTTTTACTACATTACCAGTTTGTTCTGTCATTTAATAATTTCGTCATTTCCTTTGGTTGTGTCATGCTTGAACTACGCGACACTGCCTCCATGATCTCCAGTCATGTTGCTCTATTTTGTCCGTATCTGTAAGCTTTACGAAAACGTGCACAAATAAGCACAAAATGAATGCAGAGTATAGACAGAAGGCTACAGCTGTGTCTGTATACATACCCAATGATGAGCCCTTATTCTTTAAACTGTGGGAAATGAGGCAGAGGGACTGGATAGGCTAGCTAGCTAGGTAGTAGCAGTCTCTTTCAATTACATTAGCTAGCAGAAGGCTGTCACAATCATCTTGCTTTAATGTCACACAGCCCACCTATGTCATGCAGAAATGAGTTGGAAAAACGACAGATGCAGCCAGGAAAGCCTATCTTCAGCTGGTCAAACATACCTTGTCAACATTGGCACGGGTTTTGGCAGAAGTCTCCACATAGCACACGCCCCACTGCTCGGCACGTGCCTTCGCCTCATCTGCGCTCACCTGCCGTCGGTCGTCCAAATCTGACTTGTTACCAACCAAGAGAAAGGGCACATTCTCATCCTCCTTCACTCGCAGGATCTGCTCTCTGCAAAACAAAAGAAATGTCATTCAGCCATGAATTATGTAACTACATAGGCTACTGCTTGCTGATGTGAATGAGGTAAAACTGTAGAAAATACAGTCGCTTTTAATGATGTTTCAAAAAGTCAAAACAGCTTACACTGATTATGTATTTTAACAGGGGAAAGATACCTAATGATGACTGTCATTAAATTCTAATGGATGGAAAAGCGTCTCGTCGAAATATTGTTTGCTACTGGACCTGAAGTCTACTGTTGCTGCAAATGATTCCAGTTCTGTGATGGAAAATACACAGAGGAAACCCTCGCCGCTGCGAAAGTAGTTATCTCGGATGGCTGCATAGTCCTCTTGTCCAGCTGTGTCGAGGATGTCAATCTGTACCTCCTCTCCGTCCAGCACCACTTTCTTCCTGTAGCTGTCTGCTTTGGTGGGCTCGTAGTCTTCAACAAACTATGAAGGGAAAAAAATAACTTGGTCAGCCAGAAAAGAGAAACTTTCCTCCTACTTCAACAACTTGTGAATTTTTACTTGATTTTTGTGATGCAAGTCGCTCACCTCATCATACATGAACTGGAGTGTGAGGGCTGATTTCCCCACTCCTCCACTGCCCACCATGATCACTTTGTGAAGGGCTAGAGAGTTCTGCCCTTTCGGCTTAGCAGCTGCCATGGCTCTGTGTACCAGGAGATCTGAGTGTCAAAGGTAGAAAGTTCAAGGCTGAGCTGGAGGTGGAAGGAAGGATTGTGAAATGAAGACCGTAAAATCCAGCTGCAACCAGGGGCCAAATGATAATGCCTGGAGAGACATAAAAAAAAGAGAAGAGAGAGAGAAGAAATCCTAAGATGGTTCATCATCATTTCCGAGACTCTAGATTCCATTTCTGCAGTTAGATTGCAGAGCCATCAATGTGTCTCAATGCAATAAAATAAAACCAGGAGAAACTGCCATTACACTATAAATATAATGCGGAGGATTATTCTCTGTATCTGGTTAGGGCTAGAGAGATAAAATGTGCTAATGACCACCGGTACTAGATTGATGCATTAGAAACTGCTTTATAATCAGTATTTTTTAATTCACTCCTCCCTGCAGCTATGTGTCCGCTGAGTGATTATACATTCCTTAATGTGGCTATAGTGAATACTCTGGCTTTATATGTTTTTTCTTGGCAAGAACAAAAAAGTCATAGACATAGATCTCATTACTGGAGAAAATTACACTCATAGTATACACTGTGCAATAATTATTTGGGTGATTCAAACAAAAAAAAGATGTCTGCATGGACGTTAAAGCTGAGAAAAAGGCGTGCCAAAAGGTGCATTCATGGTCAGTCCTATAGATCACAGGCTATCTCCTGAATGCTAGTTTGCAGCCAACACACATGTATTTACAAATCAGTGGTAAAATACTGCTTGTGGCATTCCTAAAAAAACTACCACATTGATGACACGGGGATTAACTACTAGTACATCAGTACAAACAGTACCCAAATCCCACTAACCCAACAGGAACCTGTGAAAGCCATTTAGCTAAGAAATATAACTTTTTTTAAAAGCTTCTGAGTAACATCTGGTAGTATTTTCCACATTTTGACAGGACTGGATAAAATCTGACATATGCCAAAGCCATTTAGTGGTCAGCTTCTCATGTTGGACAGTCCGGGAAGACTATGGGAATACCATGAAGTGCGTGTTAATGCCCTTTCCCTATCACAGGCCCACACAGACCTCTGGGGATCAGGGAGAAAGATGGGAATGCAGCCAATAGGTTATTACACAAATTAACAAAAGGGGTCAATGCACGAAAGTCAATACTACGATTTAGTACAGGATGCAATGTCCTTCTACTTTAACCATTTCAACCCCAATAGTAAGGAAGTATGTCTACTATCATGCAGCTTTAAGTAAACATTATTATCTTTATGTGTATGTAATATTTTAATAAACGTTAGGTCTTTAAGACACGTCTACAATGACAACAACAAGTATCTAGGTTTCAATGACCTCAGAATTAGGTGTAACCATAATTAGGTGTGTCCTCATAACCGCTAATCATATTCATCACAAAATTGGCTCAACAACGTAATTACACTGACACGTCAAAATTACAGTGGCATGGTTTATACTGTTAGCTGACCAAGCGACAATTTCACCTTATTATTACAACAACAGACGACTATAAGCATTAATAACAATGCACAACACTCTAATAACCATGTTAACTTATTAGCAAGTTAGCGGGGGACATGTCAACAGCAGGTAAACTAGCTAGCAGGTTGACTCCAGTGGAGCGATGTGGCTAACAGGCTAACTACCCATTACCTCAGCGGGTTAACGTCACCTGAACGCTAATTAACATTTGGGGAAGTTCACCATGATGGTAGAGGCTCTAATAAACCTATTACAAGAGAATTCTTGAACATGAGACACCCAGCAACAGATGTTCGGTTGGTCCTTGCTAGCCACAGCTAGGGTGGCCACACAGGCAAAAAGGCTAGCAAGCGTTAACGAGCAGCTAATCACAACTAAATGATGCAACGAGAAAATAAAAAAGAGCAAACGTGACCAGCAGCGAGCGTTACAGCAGCAGCGTTAGTGTGAAGAACATCACCTACCGGGAAATTAAATAGTGTTCACCTTAGCACGACGTTTGGCGGAGGTTGAGTTATGGTGGCAAGATGAGAAGACTCAGCTAGCTACTTGTTAGCTCATGGCTAGCTGTCTAGCTAACTCCAGAGACTTAGCAGCAGACTGACTGCACGTCCTGTGGGCTTGGCTCCGTCTGACAACGCCCGCCCGCCTGGGAGAACCACACTACACTCTTGTTTGACTTTCTGTGTCAATGTAAAGCCACTTTGTCACTAAAAAAACACCACCTAACAGCTATAAATAACATGATCATTTTAAAGATATTTTGCTTCGTGCGTGAACATAAAATACAGATTAAGGGCAGAGGACTGAACATGCAAGATAATGGACTAATTAGATAATCTGCATAAGTGTCAGCACCTTTGTTCAGATGGCGACCCTTTGTCAAGTCAGCAGGAGTGAAACAGACTTTCAGGAGCCAGGTATTGTTGGTTTGAAGTTGTTTTTATTTTATTTTACATAAATGAGTTAGTGCATTAAACATTTATATCCAAACAAAGATAATTTGTTATTAGTAATCCAAACATGGGTTTATTGTGAGGTAATGGGCTCCTGGGCACAGACATGCAAAAGGCCCCACCACCTTGTCTACATAGAAGGAACACACTAAGACTTAGTGGTGTTTTTTACCTAATATTGTTGTTTTGCACATCTTTGCAGTCGTTTTTTGTGGTTTTGTGTGTCTGTGATAATTGTGTGTGTGTGGTAAATTTGTGTCTCTGTGTGTCTTTAAAGGTAATTTTGAATCTTTTTGGTTGTCTTGTGTCTCTTTTTGGTTGTTTTTCCCCTTTTTATAATCATTTTGTGCCTGTGGTAATTTTGTGTGTGGAAAGTTTGCATCTCCCTGTAGTAGTTTGTGTCTCTCTGTAGTTGTCTGTGTCCCTTTGAGGTAATGTTATGTCTTTTCTAACAGTTTTTTGTCTCTTTCTGGTTGTTTCTTCCTTTTTTTTGTAAAAAAAATTTGTCTCTTAGTGGGTGTTTTGTACCTTTTTGTGGTTATTTTGTGTCTTTTTACAGTTCCTTTGTACCTCTTTGTGGTCTTTTTATGTCTCTTTGTTGTTGTTTTGTCCATTTTTGTAGTCTTTTTGTGGTTGTTTTGCACCTTTTGCAGTTATTTTGTGACTTTTTGCAGTTCCTTTGTACCTCTTTGGGGTCTTTTTGTGTCTCTTTGTGGTCATCTTGAGCCTCCCTTCTGGTTGGTACCAAGGTAAATATAAAAGAAGAAAAGGTCATGACATCAGTGACAGTGTTGCATGATGCTGACGTTTTATCTAAATATGCACATTCCTTTTTTGTTACTAGTCTCCAAACAGATCATGGCTCTGTCCAGCAGGTGCATCACACGCCCCTGTTTGGTCCAAGATAACTAACATTACATCATGATACATAAACAAGACAAGTCAGACCTATTATCACTGATCAGGCTCTGATTTTTCTTATTATTTTGACTGGACTTAATGATATATTATATTTTCCTTAGTTGGTACGTGTTAATTTAAGTGACATTTTGCAGGTGAAGGCCAGAGAGGGTCCCGACACTTTGGGCCCCTGTGCCTGCTTGGCCTGCTCTGTAATCCATCCATGATATATTTTTAAATGCCCAAAATTTGAAGAAAAAGCTGTTACATATTTAAGGCTGTGGGTATTGTAGTTTGAGTGTTATGACTGTTATTCTTTTCTCCTCTTTTGCATCCTTTAGTCATGAAGTCCATAATCTCTGGCCTACACTTGAAATTTGCAGAGAAGACATGGAATGAAACCTTTCAGCTTGTCCGAAGATGCATGGTAAGACAAACAAAATGCAGTAAACGCCTTTGTTTTCATCAGCATGTTAGTTTTAACTCCCCCTTTTTTACATATGCATATTAGCTCTATGCAGAGAAACATGAAGTGTCCTTAACTAAAAGTTGTTAAGACTTGTTACTGGATGACTTTCTAATATGATGATGTGCTGCAGATCAGGAACTGGTGTGGTCATGCACTGAGAATGAGCTCATCTATCCCGGAACACACAAGTCTTTGTTGTTGCATCAGTTTGTGCATTGACAGTTATTTGGATTCCCTTCAACAACATGGCATAATATGTGTAGTGAGCCTTTCTGAAACAAAACAAAGTAGTTTTTTTAGGTTGCCTTGTGGGCCTGGCTTTGTTTCTTGTAAACACTGTCTCATTTGGCGGGGCAGTCACTATCTGTTCTTTGGAAGAAGCTCCACTTGCAGATGTATATCATTTGAGTGTAGGTTTAGGGCCAAACATGCAAAGCCTCACAGATTCTGGTGTCTCTTACACTCAAGTGTTTTTAGCACTTCTATACTAACTTGTACGCCAAGGCTGTGAGTGGGTGTGTTAGTTTTCTTAAGATTTGTCATGGGTGGAGCAGCAGGGTAGATAATACTTTTTGGATTAATACAAAGTGGAGCTTGGCAGTGGTCAGTCTCTGGAGTCTGGTAAAGAAACTTGATTACTTGGTGGTCTGAAGTGATGTGTGGTCCAAAGGGCTAAGGCAGCTGGGAATAGTCATGCAGTTTCCTGCCAGCAGTGATGCTGAAGGGGACTTTTATAGTACCAGGCATCTCAGAAACAAAGCACTGAACGCAAAGAACATTGTAGTTTTTAAAAACATACCCATCCCAAAGTGTAAAGCATCCAAATGTCAACATTCTCTTTGCGATGGTGTCATGGGATGGGCTGGGAGGACCAAAGAGTGTTTACACAAGAATGACACTGACACACAACTACTCCATTGTTGTTTTTTTCTTCCCTTTGTCCCTCTAGGAAAAACCCAAAGATGAGTCCAAACACTACGAGCCACTTGTTAGATCTCTGGAGAGACTTCAGGAAGTGTTTAATGGTAAACAAACAGTATGCTAATGACTCCATATGTATCTTAGTACATGTATGTCACTTTAACTGTAAGTAAGCCAGCTTGTTTGTTTCAGTGTCCTCTATGAACACCATGAGGTCTCGTCTGGAAATGATCGCCAGTCAACAAGGGTAGAGAGTCAGCTTGTGATATTTGACATCACAGCCCAACAATATCTTTATTTTTTGTTAATCTAGTTTTTTTAAATTAACAAGATCCTCATTACAGGGCTTAATTTCTCTTGTAATATAATGTGGTGGTACAAATATCCTCCCATATTCCCACTCTGTCACCCCTAGAATGGGCTTTCACATCACCGAGGCCACATGCTACCTGACAGCCGATTTGTTCTACCTGGAGGTGGTGCTGCTGCCGTGTGGCGGGGTGGAGGAAGTGAAAGTAGCCCCACATGGAGGATCCCCTGTGGTAAGTAGATTACATCTCCAGTCACATTACTCTGTATGCTCTGTGTGATAATAAAATGAAATTGTCTTGCAGCCCAGTGAGTCCCTTCTTCAGCTGCTGAGGTAAGCGTTGGAGTGATGATAAATTTTAAATGTTGACATTTTGCTTGCGAGATTAAGATGACGGGGCTGTTTCAGTGATTACCTGAAGATAAATTGCTTTAGATGCTGATAGAACTGTTCTTTTGGCACAGGTCAAAAGAATTTGCTGAGTTCTCCATGAAGCTGGCAGGACTGGTCAACCAGTACAACATCCCAGGAGACAAGTACCCACTCTTAAAGGGACAGTTCACCCTAAAATCAAAAACACATATTTCTCCTCTTACCTGTAGTGGTATTTATCAATCTAGATAGTTTTGGTGTAAGTTTCTGAGTGTTGCCGATATCGGCTGTAGAGTGTCTGACAACAGCAATGTCTCTTTCCAGAAATCATGACCGGTTACTCAAGATAATCCACAGACCTTGTTGTGAGCAGTTTCATATAGGAGCTATTTTCGGTCTACCGAACTGCACCTGCCAACCAAATCACCATGCAGAAGGAAGCATGCATCCACTGTTAGTTCACCTAGCACCACTGAGCTAGCTAACGTCACAGCTCAGCCAAGGAGGACACCATTAATGTTTACATTTTGCACTGTCACAAGCACAAGCCTTTCATCCATGAGTAGATGCACTCTTCCTTCCACGCCCTATAGAGTATGGAGGTGTAGTTAAGTAGAAAAAATATAGTTCCTACATGAAACTGCTCACAACAAGGTCTGTGGATTATCTTCAGTAACTGGATCATGATTTCTGAAAAGAGACATTGCTGTTGAGTTTCTCAAATGTATTTTTTGGCACTTTGAGCACCACAAGCTGAGTGCCATCTAGTTCCATTATATTGGAGAGAAGGCGAACATCTCTAAGGCTGATATCTCAAACACTCAGTGACTCTCACCAGAACAATCTAGACTGCTATAAAGCACAACAGCTAAGAGGCAAAATATGTATTTTGATTCTGGGGTGAACTGTCTCTTAAAAATACTTTTAAACCTTTATAATTGTAGGCCTCTTGCAGTCATTTAACCATTTGTCTTTTTTGTTTCAGTGAAAACAAATTAAAATTGTTTACATCTCTGCAATGCCTTGGGAAGGACTTACAGAAAATATCACAACTGCATAGGTAAGTGACATGGGATTGAATTTTATTTATCCCAAGAGAAGTTGTTGTGCAGAAGTTGCAGTACAATGTAGTAAAAGAGTCCAAATATATAGAGTTCAAACAAAGAAAATAGAACAATAAAAGATTATCAGTAAGCTGCAAAAAACAAATGTACCACAATGTCAGAAATGTACTGTAATAATAATAATAACCTTAATCTATTAAGCGCTTTTCAAATCAGAGTTACAAAGTGCTTTACATGTCAATAATGAAAACAGACAAGACATAAAAACAAACTTTTTAATGAACTGATAAAAACACTTTGGTATATAAAAACTGTGGAAATAAGAATTAACTTAAAAACTTAAAAGAGATCACTGACTCTGCCGACCTGATCCCTCAGGCAGACCGTTCCAGAGCTTCGGGGCCCTGACAGCAAAAGCTCTGTCCACTTTAGTTTTCAGCCAGGCCTCTGGAACATACAAAAGACCTCTGCCTGAGGACCCTGAAGTACGTCCTGGCATGAACGGTACTACAAGGTTGGAGATATAGCTGGGAGGGAGACAATGAAGAGCCTTAAAAGTGATCTTAAAATTTATTCTGAAACATACTGGGAGCCAGTGTGAAGAGACTAAAACTGGAGTGATGTGATCACGGC